GAACTTCTGTTTGTGGGTCTACATCTCAAGAAATAATCCTGAGTTCAGAAAAAAGCTTTACGTATTAGGGTGGTTTTTATAATAATGAAAAATTGAAAACAATTTAAATGATCAATATTAGGAACTGGTTAAATCAGTTGTGGTATAGTTATTTGAAGGAATTTATTACAGTCATTAACATGGTAGCTATATAGAATTGTCATGACGTAGGACAGATTTTATGTTATAACTAGGAGAAAGCATACTACAAACTTATGTTCACAGTACAAGTATAACAATGTTAAAAATTCTACACACAGAAACTGGACTGGAAACACGTATATAAAAAGATTATCTTTAGTGAGTATATATTACCATGCTTAAAATGAACATTTAATAATATGATTCTTAATATATAAGTAATTGATAGTAAGATTCTATCCACATTAAAAATTTCCTTTCCTTTCAAACGTGTAGCTTTGAAGGCCACCAAAGGAAATAATAATTGGAGAAAAGAGCAATAAATAAATAAAAATCTAAAGTATTTGTTATATTCATTTCACCAGGATTTTCATCCTGACCATCTTGGAAACTACTGTAATTTTCAAAACATATAGTAAAGTGTAAGCTCCATGAGGGCAGATATCATGTCTTCTTCAGCTTTGTATCATCAGCCCCACTGGTAGTACTCAGCATACAGAAGGTGTTAATAAATGATGAATAACTAACTAGTATTATTGAAATAACAATTAGAAACAGTAAGTTTAGTGGATATCTGTTGATTTGCCTGTCTAGTTACTGTTTATCCTTTTTTTCTGTCTAGCCTAGTGTCATTTTTGGGCAATCACTTCTCCAACATTTTTTGTCCATGTGGTCAGGCCCACCACTTGACTTTAGGTTTATGTATAAGATTCAGGCCAGAAGGATTGTGTTTTGCTCAAACTATTGGGAACAAGACATGTTCTTTCAACAATGACTTGCTAAACTAGTCACTGTTGAAATCCTGGAGCTTCTGGTGGTCATCTTCGCCTCCACACTGGGAAAACTGAAATAATGAAACCAACACAAAAAAAGGCAGAACTAAGAGATGGAGAAAATTTATGCTTAAAACTTAGTTAGGTTATCCCCAGCCTTCCAGTTACATGACCTAGCAAATCCTTTTGTGCTCAACAATTTTGTTTTGTTTTCTCTTAAGCCAGTTTGAGTTAGGTGTGTGGGCTGAATAGAAAGAGTTCTGAACTACCCAGAGATGTGTGCTAACATTTCTTTTCATAGGTTTGTCAATAGTTTCGATAATAATGGGGAGTGATTATTTTATATAAAATTAATCACTATTCTACGCAAACAGCCTTGAGAAATCATTGTTAGTAACTATTAGTGCACACAAGTTACTTCTAATATTTAATAGTCCTTTACCCAGGTAAAAGACTGTGAGTCTAGTGAGATTGAAGGAGTTTCCACTGCAGTGCATTGAACTCATGGGAGCCAAGCTTTTTAATTTTTATTTATTTTTTTTAATAGCTAATGCTTCTTTTTCTTTGTTCATACACTTCGCCCATACTAAACTCACAAACTCTCTTTTTACACCTGTAGTTTATTATATTTACTAAATTACATATTTAGTCATTCATACATAACCCAAAGTACCTTGTAATGGCTTCATCAATGTGTACAGTATTCCTACCAGCCTAGGAGTCTTTTAGAATAAATTAGGTCATCTTACAGAGATAATGGTTCTATCTGTAAATGGCTTTTTTGAGGCCCTGAATTTATTCATAATGAATGCTTTCTGTAAGTTGGTCATACATAAACATCTCTAATGAAATTTGTCACTGTATTTCCATAAAATATATTATTTAAATTTATAAAAAGGTGTTTTTCCTTGATGTGCCTTAAGGTTAAAAAAAAACTAAAGAAATACAAGAGTCATGAGGATCTTTATATTTAAATCTTTCCCTGTATGACCATAAATGTGTGGTAGAAAACAGATTATGCAATATTTATGTATTTAAAATAAAATATTTTATTCTATAGGGGTTTCTCAACATTTAATCATTGTTCTTAATTTCTCTTTCAGTGGCTAATATATTTAATATTTGCTACAGTGACTCTTTTTGTCCTATCTTTTGAACTGGAAAGATAATTGTATGTTCTTCACCATAAAGTGTGCCTTTATTGTAACGTCATAAGATTTCTCTCTTCTTTTTTTCTCCCTATATGATGCTTCTCTCTTAGCAAAGGTCAGAGCCCAGTATGTAACCCCTTAACTGTTTGTTTGATGAATAAACCTATTCATGCATCTTTAGGTAGCCTCTACATAAGAGACCTTGGATTTGCAATAACATTGTGTTTGTTTCATTTGAAGTTCAGTCTCTTCAACTTTTTATTGCATGACTAGGCAATTATATGCTGTAAAATATTAGTGCTTGCTCTGAGCCAGACACTGTTGGAAGTATTTTCTTTATAATATCACATTTAATCTTCATAATAACCTATGAATTAGCCACTATTATTGTCCCCATGTTATAGATAAAGAGATTGAGGCACAGAAGAGTTAACTAACTTGCCTAGGGGTTATATTACTAATAAGTAGTAAAGCGAGGATTTGAACTCAGGCAGTCAAGCTTCTAAGTCCAAGTTCTTAACCACCACACAACGCTATAAATCTTTTACTTAAGCTTATTAATTTAGGCATAGATTAAAACAAAGAAACAGATAGAAATAAAAATAAAATAGAGCTTGCAGTGGTTTGAATGTCCCTGCCAAAAGTCATGTTGAAATTTGGTTGCCATTGTAATGGTGTTAAGAGGTGGGACCTTTAAAAGTTAGGCCAGGAGTCTCCACCCTCAGGAGTGGGTTAGTTATCATGAGAGTGGGCTTCTGATAACTGGGTAAGTTTGGCCACTTCCCTGTCCGTCTTGTGCCTGGCTTCTGTCTTCTGTCTTCCACCATGGGATGACCCTCATCAGATGCCCATGTCATGCTCTTGGACTTGACAGTCTCCTGAAGCATGAACCAAACAAACTTCTATTTTTTGTTTTGTTTCGTTTTTGTTTTGTTGTTGTTTTTTTAATAAATTACCCACTCTGTGGTATTTCCTTATAGCAACAGAAAACAGACTAAGACAGAGCTTTTACTGAATAACCTGATGGCAGAAGATTAGAAGAAATATATCTTGTTTTCATTTAATTTTAAGGTAGATTCACTTTTAAGGAAGAGTCAATAATTTGTGATAATAAATTATTTTTTCCTATAAAGTGCCTATATTTTATTTTTAGGAAAACTTTGTGTGCAAGTACAAAATATGGGAGAAATAGTAATGTAACAGATTTGCAAACCAATAATTTGGGGTTAGCTTTTACACAAGTTTTTCTATTACCTTTGAGAAAGATAGATAATGGGAAAAGAGAGCATGCAGAAGGTAGGCCAAAAGAAGTAGGATCAGAACATCAATTTCCCAGAACTGTGGACAGTATTCTGGATTCGCTTGAAATTAGCAGTGCATGGAATCTCTTCATCCAACCAATATATGCCATTTTGTTCAGTAACACCAATTTAATTTTGCTCTTCTATATTTTCCTAGTTAATGGAGAATATCATGTTATAGAAAGAGGTAATGATAACTTCATTAGCTGAAAAAATGTGTTTCTACTTTCTAGGATTGGAGAATTTGTCTTTGAATTATTTAAGCTATGTGACTATCTATCTGTCTGTCTATCTATCTAAATATATACTTAGATGATTGTGCTAAAACATGCACAGAATTACACTTGGCTTTACACATATACATCTAAGTAATTTTTCTACTTCTATATTCCCATTCTTTTCTCCCAAAATGCCAGATATAAAAATATTCCATTAAAGTGAATGTATTTTCTGATTGAGAAATCAAATTCCAATGCAGTCACAAAATATATTTGTTAATGGGTATACCACTAGCAATAAAATACTACAAGATATCTTTTAGCTTTTTTCTCGTGGGTCATTCATTTTCCAAATTTTCCTAGCTTCTAATTCTAATGAAGCAGTTACATTTATTTCTGTCTCTACATACAAGAAGAAATTTTTCCCATTGTCAAATAAGCTGAAGAAAATCTTTCATTCCTCACTTCTCAGCAGCATGGGTGTTGGGCTCTACCTTAACGTTTGAAAATATTTATCCTCCTCTCCTAACTTCCATCACTGCCATTGAGTGCAATTGATATCACTGAGCTCACTAATTTGGGACAGAAATAATGATGCTAAAGCTCTTATTAGAAGAATCATTAGGGTTTAAAAAAACCTACACTTGATGGCCTCATTGTACCATTAGGCTAGGATATCCCATGTGTAAAGTACAAGTAATTAGGGTGAATGGAGTGATTTTAGAGAGACTGGGTCTCAAAGATTGTAGTTGTCCTTGAAAAAATGTAAGGGTAAAAAGCAATGGCTCATGTACAATACAAGGAAAGCCACAAGAAAGATTATATTCTAGCTATTTCTTTATGCTCTTTCTTTTATGAAGTCTTTACACTCTGATAAGTTCCTTGTGACATCTAGAGGGCCAACCACAGTGAAAAGTCAATAACAGGAAGTAGATACGATGCCTTCATGAAGTTGCTGCTTTAAACTGGAATGCCAGCTCTCTAGCAGAACTGCACTGTTCTACAGGACCGACAGCACCTGAATGCTTAGATGGGAGATAACTTCTGATGAGTCTGATTACACACGCTTAGGTCCTCTGATTTGCCAATGGCAGTTGAGGAGGCATCACTTACTTGCATGGCGTTTGTGCACGATTTATGTTTGTACCCTGGGGCAAGACAGGTTAATAAGACCAAGAAGGAGGGGAGGCTGTGGGAGTGGGTAATAACTGGGGAGGACTTCACAGCATCAACCTGGGGGAAAGGGAGGAGGGCTGAGGATGAAGGGTGTTCCCTCCTCCTTCTGCCTATGTGTTAAGTGGCAAGATAAATTTTGAAAGCTGCTGTGAGGAGGAGCTACTGACTGGGTTTTGGGGTGTTTTGTACCCCACCCTCCTCACTTGTAGGAAAGCCTCTTTGCATTTAGACGTAATTGAACTGGAAGGAAGCAGACTGGCCGGGGAATAGGGGGAAAGAAATTCTCCTGTTGCTCCTCCTCCTCTTTATCACTTGCCTCCTGACTGTCTTCCAAACCAAGCTCAGCTGCATCAGGGTGGCAGCAGAATACCCTGTGCAAGTGCCAGCGTCTTCTTAGCAGCCCTGTGCATCCCAGGCTGCCCTGTTATCTGGCCACCGTCCCTGGCCATTGGGACTGATTCTGATGGCTGTGGCCTCCGCTGCCCCAGGGAGCATCTTCTGTAAGCAGCTCCTTTTCTCTCTGCTGGTGAGTAACAACCAAAGGATTAGGGATTTCAGGCATGTTACTACCTGCTTCCTCTCTGCAGTTCGGGCTTGAAAGAGACTAGGAGTGCAGATGGGAGGCAGAGAAGAGGGACTGGGGAAAAGAAAAACAGATCTGAGGAAGATTCAGGGAAGAGTTGAGAGACTTGGGATCCAGGATGGAAAGTGTTCAGCTTATTTCTCAAGCACCCACTGCCAGAGTGTTAAAATTTGTCAAGGAAATCCCTCTTCCATCCTGCTGTGGTGTTTTTCTAAGGAGTAGAGAAAAGAATTCACTCCTTAGGTATTTGGCCCAGAAGTTTCTGAGGTTTACTTTTGCTACCAGTGATTACATAAACTCATGTTATTTAACATGCTGAGTACTACTGAGCTGCAAAAAAAGGAGAAAGGATTCTGGGTGAATATGCAAATTATCCAGGACTTTTTGAATTTTACTCATGAAGCAGTTTAAGCAAAGAATAGTTTAAGAAAAATAACAGAAAAGTGACTGTCATTGAAAATACCCTTAACTTGGCTTCCACTTGGGTTTTTAATAGCTTTGTAACTGTGTAAGGTGCTATTTTTTCTTTGGTGGTGAGGGAAGAGAGGGGGGTTATTTCACACATCCATGCATCATTTCTGAGGTGCGAATTTCCTTTTTCTTCATTTAAGCAAAATATTTTAGTTTCAAATTATATTTTTAGAAATGGCAGGTATGGGGACAAACATGTTCTGCATGTAAATAATATACAATGCAGGGTTGATGGTCACCTTCTCATCTTGTAACTGCTTAGGGAGAAGATAACTCAGATACCATCTTGAGTTAGTTCAAGTTTGGTAAAATGTGGTAAAAATTTTCCAAAGGATTCTACCCACATTTCTTTTGTTTCTGATCCCTGTACTGTCTAATATCTTTGGAAAATTCATCTCCTGCTCACTTATTTCTGACCTGAAATTGACTAAAAGGGTGTCACTAAGCCACTTAGTCAGTGATTTAACCTGAAGATGGGAATAGTGTTTAATGAATGGAAACCTTCAGTGGCTCTGCCTGCAGAGGGAGGACCGTCAACATGGAATCCTAGGACAAGAAGGAAAGAAGATGGGGGTGGAAGTGGAAGTATGGATAAAACCTATAAGAATGTCTCATATATTTATATATATATGTGCACCTCTCTCTATATATACACACACATATACAGTCATGCTCTGCATAACAATGCTTCAGTCAATGATGGACTACATATATGAGTGGTCTCATAGATTATAATGGAGCTAGTCTATATAGGTGAACCACTTTTTATCTTTTATATTGTATTTTAATGTACTTTTTCTATGTCTAAAAATGTTTAGTAACACAAATACTTACAATTGCCTACAGTATTCAGTAGAGGAACACGCTGTACAGGTTTGTAGCTTAGGAACAATAAGCTATACTATATACTATACACCTAGGCTGTATCATGGTGCATACCATGGGATATACATATATACACCATGGTGTATATCATGTAGGTATAACCTAGATGTGTAGCAGACTATATCCTCTAAGTGTATGTAAGTACACTCTGTGATGCCTGCACAATGATGAAATCACTTAAAGTTGCATTTCTTACAATATAAGCAATATATGACTATGTGTATATATACACACATACATATACATATATAGGTATAGGTATATGTACAGGTATATGCATATATATGTGTACATATGTATGCGTTTGTGTGTGTGTATGTCCTAATTACAAAATGCTCTTTCCACATCATATACTTAGACAACTATTAACAGTATGGTTTATGCTTAGAAAGTTCTTTAAGTGTTATTTAGTATGTTCCTTGGCATTAGGGATGAACATACTTAAAAAGTTAAATAAATACGAATGTCTCATGTTTTAAAAAGTGGTTTTAAAATTAGAACTAAATAAAAAAGTGGCCATTTAATTCCAGATTTCTGCCTAACATAGATTTGTAAAATTACAAACTATTTAGACTGCTACAATATATCTTATAGACTTGAGTTGAGCTGGAAAAGAAGTGCACATCCTTAATATGAATGTTAATCCATTCTCTTTCCTCCTCACAAATAATGGGTCCTGTAATTCTAGAATTCAGAGAAAAGCTGAAAGCTGACCATAAGATTAACCTACATGTTTCCGGAAAACCTAGCTCTACTCTATCTTATATTTAAATAATAATAAAGCAGTTGTCGTGATAAAAAGAAACAAACAGAAAATGCAGAGAAAAAGAAGCAAAATATATTTTGAACCTACAGACATTTTTGAAATGATAGCTTTTCTTTTGTTTTTCAGATAGTATCTATGTCTTTGAACTACCTAGATTTTAAAAACTATAGCTGGGTCTTGAATTTAATTAAAAATCTTTACCCATTTGAAGGATACTCTCCATATTTTGACATATATTCTTTTTAGATTAGTCATGTAATTTGAGATCGTTTAGACTTTTTAGAAGTTTTGGCCAAGTCAGTCTGAAAATTGATTTGAGAACAATGATTTCTGGGGAGCATTGTTTTTTTGTGAGGTTAAAAAAGTCCTTAACTATTTTCTAGACTTCATTAACTAGAACTTCAAATAGTAAAAATGATGATTAGAGAATTAGGACATATATGTAATTACGCATTTCAGAGTTAAGTATTTTCTTCATGCTAAAAATAGAATGGCATTTATGAGTGGTCTTAGAGATGTAAAACTGCTATATAAAGTCAATGGCTTGTGAAATATTTTCTTGCACTGACACAATATGATTTAGGTTGTAAGAACTACTATTCACTTAATTTTTTCGTTGATAAATAAATGACAGTGTTATTCCTAAAGCTATTCTCTTTGCTGATTCCTTTTAAAGTGAGTATTAAAAATTTAAAGAATTAAATGATCAGTTTGTTTCCAAGACTGACAATATTTTTATCAATAAGAAAAAGTTATAATGTGAAAATTTGTGATCAAATTTAATTCCTGATATTTTCTCTTTTTTTTTTTTGAGGTTTTAATATTACTTTGCGATGCTTGTCAGAAAATTTATCTTCGAGTTCCTTCTCATCTTCAGGCTGAAACACTTGTAGGCAAAGGTGAGAAACTCTTTTAACAATTTCGTAGTTGTAACTTGCCACATTTAGCTTCAGACTACTCTTGTAAAGTTTGGGTTAAAAGCCACATGGTAGCTACTTGACATTAACATTGGATGTACAATAAAAGATAGGCTACTTGTTTTTTGGTAATGGTTAGGAATAATTAAAATATCTCAGTTAGTTGTATACTTCTCTTGCCAAAGTATTAGCAAACATCAGAAGGCTGAATTCTCTTGGATTACATCAAACAAAGCAAGGCACCAAAACCATGAGCATATTCTAATTTGTATAAACTAATCTGCTGCCAAAATTTCAAAGCCAAGATTCTTTAATTGATTAGACACGAAATGGATGTCTCAACATTTAAATGCTTCCAATAAAATTTGTACTTGAGGTTGATTACAATGAACAAGTATCCACCAAGAATAAATGTGACATATTTCACAGAATAGCTTGTGAAAATCAAATAAAGTTTTGGTGGGTCTTAGTACCATAGCCAGTTGGTTGTTCTGAGTCCAAAAGTAAAGATTTTTTCATCAAGAGTTTTCATTGGCTTTGAGTTCACATGTAAAAAATTACACACTGAATACAGAAATGGTATCCTTTCCAAGCCAGATGTTGTTTTGCCCAGTGCTTTAAGTTTTTAAGTTAATAAACAGTCCACACTCTAAAGACACATAGTAAATACATTAAATGTGTTAAATATGAATCTGTAAAGGAGGTAATTTGATAATAACTACAATGCATTGGGTTTACTAAACCTCAAAAGGTATTACAGAAAGATTACTTGCAATATTACTGGGAAATATTACTTAAGAATAGACTAGTTTTCTTCTTATTTATTTATTTATTTTGAGACAAAGCCTTGCTCTGTTGCCCAGGCTGAAGTGCAGTGGTGCTATCTCTGCTCACTGCAACCTTCACCTCTCAGGTTCAAGCAATTCTCCTGACTCAGCCTCCTGAGTAGGTGGAATTGCTTGCAACATTACTGGGAAATATTACTTAAGAATAGACTAGTTTTCTTCTTATTTATTTATTTATTTATTTATTTATTTTGAGACAAAGTCTTGCTCTGTTGCCCGGGCTGAAGTGCAGTGGTGCTATCTCTGCTCACTACAACCTTCACCTCTCAGGTTCAAACAATTCTCCTGACTCAGCCTCCTGAGTAGCTGGAATTACAGGTGCACACTGCCATGCTTGGATAATTTTTGTATTTTTAGTAGAGATGGAGTTTCACCATATTGGCCAGGCTGGTCTAGAACTCCTGACCTCGTGATCCTCCTACCTTGGCCTCCCAAAGTGCTGGGATTACAGGCGTGAGCCACCTAGTTTTCTTATTTTTGGCAAGATAGTTTTAACTATCAAACTATTGCAAAAAGTTCAAAATCTACTGACATCATACAGTTATACCATTTATGACATAAAAAATTCAAGTTTGTACACATATACATTTATACACACACACGATAATTAAGAGTTCAAAGGAAAGAGAATAAAATCTGTGACACTAGGAAAATATTTTATTTCTTAAATTAATGTATGACGAAGGCAGTGGAAAATGTGATTCCATTAATTTAATTATTTAATTTTCATGGCCCCCACGTTTTAGAGTAGTAGGTGCTGAGCACATTCCAAATGTAACCTCCCTTTTTCTGCTTCTCATGCACTAACTCACGGCTGTCATTCCTGTAAAACTTGTTCCACTCCTGTTTCATCTGACAAACTGCTATGACATTTCTTCCCTGCAGTGAATCTGGAGGAGTGTCTCAAGTCGCCCAGCCTAATCCTGTCCAGTGACCCTGCCTTCAGAATTCTAGAAGATGGCTCAATTTACACAACACGTGACCTCATTTTGTCTTCTGAAAGGAAAAGTTTTTCCATTTTCCTTTCAGGTAGTGAGAGACATGAACAACAAGAGATAAAAGTTGTACTGTCAGCAAGAGAAAACAAGGTATAAGGCAAGGGCTTAAGCAGCCTAGCACAGTAATCTGCTTATGGGAGTCCTTCGTGTTATATACTCCTTTCACGTTAAAATCCATGCTATTGAATGACAAGTTTGTCTTTTCCACTTACAATTAGTGTAAATAAAGGCTAGACTTTTAAGGAGTGGCAGAGCTATTTACAAACTTTTATAAAGATGAATGACTCTGTAGACGGGAAGCAGAGTAAGAATATCAAAGTTTTCTAATAGTGATTTCAAGTTTGGCAATAAGAACCAACCAACCTGAGGAGCAAGGACAAGACAAAGGCGGGTCTAAACCTCAGCGAAATGCGATTCAGGCTGGAGATATGGGCTCCACCCTGTGCGGCTCTCTTCCCACTGATTGCAGGTTTGAGTCTCTCTTTAAAGAGGAGAAGAGATTGTCTAAATCTTACTCCCATCTTACTAGAACATTCTATAGGGGAGCCCCTCTCTTCAGAGAGTGGAGGTGTGGCCAATCCACAGGACTGGTTTGAATATTTCACTCTAGGCTCATTTTCTTGCAGTGAGTGGTAGAGATCAGTTCAGAAAGCAGGAAGGAGAAAGTTGCTGGAATTCACATCTCATTTTCAGCAAATTCACCACAATAAGTTTCGTCTTATAAAACCATGAATGATTCTATTTATGAGAGGACTTCCCAACTAAATTCTTTTTGATTACATGAACTCCTCTTAATATGCTTAAGACTTAAAAAATGTTATTTTGTATCCACATTGTAAAATCCCCACATTATATAAAATCAAGTATACTTGCGAAAATGCTCACCTGTGTCTATATAGATGTATAAATGACTGTATTGTAGAATGAGGGTTTTAACAGATTTTGGTTGTACCACTCCTAGTGGAATGAAGTTGATTGTTAAATATTTATTAATAAATTGTCTATTTTAGGGGGGTTTATAACTTTTCAAAGTGGTGTCTTTCCAAATGTCCTATACATTTCCTGGTGGTTAACTGAGTAAATAGAGAAATAGGTAGAACAGGGGAACGTAATGCAGTCTGAGGTGTGCGTGCGTCTTATCAATAGAAATGCTTTGCTGATTAGCCATGGTATTGTAATGTATAACTCTTGCATCTGTTTGTTGATGTATGTGTAAAAAATCACAGTTCCAAAAATGATAAGCAATGCTACATTTCTTTGTTTCTTGTCAAATGTAGGCTCCTAAGAAGAGACATACCAAAGACACAGCCCTCAAGCGCAGCAAGAGACGATGGGCTCCTATTCCAGCTTCATTGATGGAGAACTCATTGGGTCCCTTTCCACAACACGTTCAGCAGGTGCATTTCACCTTATTTGATTTTATACGTGTCCAAATTTTTGGTTCTTAAACTTTTCATTTGAATTGCACAGCATATTGAATCAGAGCTTTAATGGTACAAGTAATGATCATCTATTCACCAGAATTAGGGTCCCATAGAAGTGATGCAGCATATCTTATTACTTTCTTACATGTATCATATTTAGAAATTTAGAAACAAGTTTTATATTTGGAGTTTCTGATGCTCTTAGGTCTATGTCTAAATTCCCCAAAATACTATGGTAGACTTGTTAACACTAATGTACAGAAGGCACACCTACACATTTTGCATAGTTCAACTCTTGCTTAAACTAGCACTCATCTTTTATAAAAATGGCCTGTATTTCTGCTTACTAAGTAAGATTGCCTCACTGCTACATAGCTAGAATGCAAACATAGAACAGCTTTGAAATTTTGAAATATAGTGGCATGAACTCAGCTCACTGCAAACTCCGCCTCCTGGATTCAAGTGATTCTTCTGCCTCAGCCTCCCGAGTATCTGGGATTACAGATACCCACCACCATGCCCGGCTAATTTTTGTATTTTTAGTAGAGACAGGGTTTCGCCATGTTGGCCAGTTTGGTCTCAAACTCCTGATCTCAGGTGATTCACCTGCCTAGGCCTCCCAAATGGCTGGGATTACAGGCGTGAGCCACTGTGCCCGGCCAAAATTTTCTAATTCTTGAGGAATTAATTGTGGAAGAAAAGTTGTATTACTTCTAGCTTTATTAATCACATAATTTTCAATTCCAAAGAATTCAAAATCACTGAAACTGTTACTATTCTTTAAATGAAGATAAGAATAAGTAAATAACAATTGAAAAGGTGTATCACTCTACAAATGTTATAGATATACAAATGACAAAAAAGTTGAGATCAAATAAGTGACAGAATTTCTGGCTTTGCACAATGCAAAATGCAGATAAAAATTTGGAAAACATGGCAGATAATGGGCACCTAAGCAGAAAAAAGAAAGAATAGGAGAGTAGGAAAGAGGGCTAGTGGTAAAAAATAAACCGTCACAAGAGGTTAGGTTGAAAATATTCATGATGACATATTTGTCCTATTCCTAAATTATTACTGCAGATCCAATCTGATGCTGCACAGAATTACACCATCTTTTATTCCATAAGTGGACCAGGCGTGGACAAAGAACCCTTCAATTTGTTTTACATAGAGAAAGACACTGGAGATATCTTTTGTACAAGGAGCATTGACCGTGAGAAATATGAACAGTTTGCGGTAGGATTATTGAAATATTTCCTCAGAATTATATCTTTATTACTGACTTACTAATATTTTCAAGTATGCTTGTTCACATATTATAAGAATCAGTTATTTGATTTAATATTCAAGATGTTAATATGCAATATAAACTTTAAATTTCTATTTACCATTGATGAGGAAAAACAGTGGATATAATAAAGGAAGGTGGAGGGGGAAGGTATAGAAAATATAATGATAGAATTTTAAAGGATATATTTTGGTCCATAATCCTGGATAAATAACAAAGAATTTTACTGAATTTAAAGTTATCTATAATAAAATAGTTCAATTACTCTCAACCATGTTTGTACATTATAAGTCCTCATGACTGAAGAGTGTGATTAGTGAGTATTGTGGTTAAAATTGTAAAACTCAATAAAATCTGACTTCTGAGGTTACATCGATTGGAACAGGGAATGTCAGAACAACTGCAGCAAAGTTGGTGGGTCAACATGTAGAATGCATTTGGAGTCACATGAAAATGATGGCAATGGGAATGGAAAAGAGAACATGCATGAGAAACACAAAAATGCCATAATCTCTAGAACTTGGCAACTGACTACTAAGATTTATGAGAGAGAGGGAGGAGTTTAGTGCCTGGAATTTTAATCCTAGTTCATTTAGAAATGGTTACAGTAGGGAAAATTAGAAGAGCTAGTTGTGGTAAAAAACTGAGTTAATGCAGAATTCACTTTGGGTAGGTTTAGTTGGTCCCATGAGTGATGAAAATCCATTCATCAACTATTTACTGAACACTTACTATGCACAAACCACATAAGGGGGTTGTAGGAATAATTTGGAGTTTAGAGGGAAAGGACGTTAAATACATACTGGCTGTTGCGGACAAGGCATTCATTTTGAAATGAAATTTCTGATATGTATATGCTTTTATTAACATTTTTATTGTGAAGAAATACATACTTACAATAGAAAAATGAGAAAATATAGGTAAAGAACTTACAATTGAATTATCCTAAAATAGTTGTGATGTCCATTTATTTGTGTGTATGTGTAAATCTATACATAATAGAATTGTATTTTTATAAACTTTAAAAACACGTGTTAATAACATAACTGGGGGAAATCTGCATGCATTCTAACAAGTAAAACAGCGTACGGTTAATTCAGAGAACACCTGTAGTGCGTGGTGCTCAGAGTGGGAGAATAATGAGCAATAACACCGAGAGGGGATTGAAACCACATGGCAGGCAGAGACTGCTTCTGTGGGTTATCTCTCCATTGCATCATTTCTTTCTTTTTTTTTTTTGAGACGGAGTCTCGCTCTGTCACCCGGGCTGGAGTGCAGTGGCCGGATCTCAGCTCACTGCAAGCTCCGCCTCCCGGGTTTACGCCATTCTCCTGCCTCAGCCTCCCGAGTAGCGGGGACTACAGGCGCCCGCCACCTCGCCCGGCTAGTTTTTTGTGTTTTTAGGAGAGACGGGGTTTCACTGTGTTAGCCAGGATGGTCTCGATCTCCTGACCTCGTGATCCGCCCACCTCGGCCTCCCAAAGTGCTGGGATTACAGGCTTGAGCCACCGCGCCCGGCCGCATCATTTCTTAGTTACGGGTCTTTGGGAATGATTTTTTTTTTTTTTTTTAATGTTGCATTTTCCCCCACTGCTAGGCTTACTTTTGTGCATAATTTGTCATTTGAGAATACATTGATGATATTTTCCCTTCTTTCAGTTATATGGCTATGCAACAACCGCAGATGGCTATGCACCAGAATATCCACTCCCCTTGATCATCAAAATTGAAGATGATAATGATAACGCCCCATATTTTGAACACAAAATGACTATCTTTACTGTGCCTGAAAACTGCCGATCCGGTAAGTTCACATTTGATAGTAGCATGATAAGAAGATTATTTGACATTTCATAAGCATTATAATTAAAGATGTTTACCTTTTATCATTGCATTTTATACTTGTTCTGGTATTTCTGATTACACATACTTTTTCCCATGAGGAACTGTTGTTATGTGACATTCGTATTAAGGGCCGTAAATGACTCTGAGCAAACTTTCTTAAATTTAAGCAGATGCATAAGATAAAATATTATACATTTTCTCTTTTATATCATGATTTTATAATTCTGGTAGCATTGATTTGACTCAGTTCTCTCCAGGGTGGGGTTGTTGCTGAAGTTGGTGTTTGGTTTACCAATGCATGCTTAGAAAGTCTGCAGTGAAGGAAATGTTGCTCAGTTTTGCCACTGGGAAAAGTCGTTGTTCAGTATAAAACGGACTACACCCAGAAATTCATAGATAATATTACAGGGGATTTACACATGGACCAGGGATCATTTTTTCTTCCAACAAAATAAGATGTTATTTTTTCATTCATTCATTCATTCATTCATTCATTCAGTGGTTTTTAAACAACTGTCACTTAAGGATACGTAGAAGTCTAAACGTAGGAAAATTCAACTTTTCCTTCTAAGCAAGAAAAATACTCAAAAGAAGTGATGTAACCAAACATACAGGAATGTCTATTTTATGGTGTCAAGGAATATTTTTTAACAGACATTTGAAATTCGAAGGATTTGACTTTTGTAGGCTATGTATGTGTAGTACCGGTTTATATTAAAATCTTATACTATCAGTGTTTTCCTGAATTCTTTTTATTAAATGACCGTTGGGTATTAGCTTTCATTTTAGTCTAGTTTTGTAACCAGTGTTTAGGATAATGGCAATTTTAGGAAAACACTAGATTTTTGCTTCCATTGAATTCCTTATTAATATTTTAAACACAATTATGTAGAACATTTTAAAATGTTTCACTTTCAAGGATATACTACATAAAACATTCTAGTTTTATGAGATCATGTACTTCTCAAAGGAAAACCTTTCTGTGCTCATCTTGCTACCCACATATAGAAGGTAGCTAATTGATACATAACGTAACTAACTGGTTAGATTAGTACACAACAGATCTGAATGTGCAACAGACAAATGCCATTCATATTAAATATAAATATATTTTATATTTTTAGCAAGTACATGTGTGTCACACGTGCATTGATGAAACTGTACATAATTTGACTCTTTATAAAGTTTCAATACATTTTCAAGGAACCAGAAATATATCATGGCATGGAAATAGTGATCTGATATATAAAACATAAACATTGCCTTTTTTGGCATATCTTCCCAGCAAAATGAAAAAAAAAATTAAACTGATTTGATGCTATGTGAAGCCAAGACTGTGACCCAAGACTACTAAGGGGTGTAACAAGACTGACTAGTTTATTTTCAAATGTTGCAAGAGCAGTTGTTATTTCCTGTGGTCTCCTCCATTCTGTTTCCATGTACATATGTGTGTCTAATACTGCTGTTTCACAATGCTAATGCAACGTGTCTAACACTCTTATGTCTGGACTATGAAGCTTATCTAAATGATATACAGACTGCTGTGTATGATTTTGTCTTGCATATATTAATAATTATTTGTATACATCAATAATGTATCACATTTATTAAAGTATAAAAGGATAAAATATTTGTTATTACATGAAAAGATGTGGTATTCCTCTGATTAACATTATCAAGTTGGGTTATAAAAGAGACAAGGTATACAGAGAAGGTCCCATTCAAAAATGGTCCATGAACACTTATATGCCATTGGTGAAAATATAAATTAGTTCATCCCCTGTGGAAAGCAGTTTGGAGATTGCTGAAAGAACTAAAAACAGAGCTACTATTTGAGCCAGCAATGCCATTACTAGGTATATACCCAAAGGAAAACAAATCATTCTACCAAAAGACACTTGCACTTGTATGTTTATTGCAGCACCATTCACAATAGCAAAGACATGAAATCAATCCACGTGCCCTTCAATGGCGGACTGGATAAAGAAAATGTAGTACACAAAGGCCATGGCATACTATGCAGCCATAAAAAATAATAAAATCATGTCTTTTGCATCAACAGAGATGCAGCCGGAGGCCATTATCCTAAGCAAATTAACACAGAAACAGAAAGCTAAATACCACATGTTCTCACTTATAAGTGAGAGTTGAACATCGGGTACACATAGACACAAAGATGGAAACAATAAACAATGGGGATTCCAAAAGGTAGGAGGGAAAGAGGAGGGAAGGGGCTGAAAAACTACCTATGCGGTACCACATTCACTACGCTGGTGATGGGATCCTTAGAAGCCCAAACCTTAGTATCGCACAATATACCCCTGTAACAAACCTGCATGTGTACCCCCAAATCTAAAATTAAATTAAGTTAAATTTTAAAATAGCCCATGAACTTGGAGAGAAAGAATTTCAGAACTACTGTTTCTAAAGGTACTGTGGGAACTGTTCTCATATACGTAGAATACTAATCATGTTATTCACAGGAGCTACCTAACTGAAGTTCCTGAGTAAGGGAGGCTTGGAGACATTTAGAACAGTTTCACATTCTTCAACTTAACAGTAAAACTAATCTACTTGTGGTTTTGGGCAGAATTTGCTACAACAATGCCTTGATTTTAGTTTGTTTATAATTCAATTATATGAGTGGAAATTTTTATCGCTTTTGGATTTTTCTAAACAGGAACTTCAGTGGGACAAGTGACTGCCACAGATCTCGACGAACCTGACACTCTCCATACTCGTCTGAAATATAAAATCTTACAACAAATCCCAGACCATCCAAAGCATTTCTCCATACATCCAGATACCGGTGTCATCACCACAACTACACCTTTTCTGGATAGAGAAGTAATGATGATTAATTAACTTTCCAGTCATTCAACTACATTTAAACTGAGAATGAGAGAATATTGCAGTATGGCCACTCTGGCCTCCTTTCTCAGCATGCTTCTGTAGGCTGTGGTTAGGGCTTATCTGGAGATGTCCTCTGTCCTTACACAGATGTTGGGAAGGTACCATATATTAGACAGGGTCTGTCTTGAAATCAGTAATCTGATTTGATCTGTTGATGATAAAATTGCTTTACATTTATTTTATTTTTGTTTTTAAAAAACTATTTTTATCTGACTCCAATATGCTTAACTTTTTAAATTAATAAACTTTGGTGTAGCAGCTTTGGGTTCACAGCATAATTTAGTATAAAGTACCGACGGAGGCTGGGCGTGGTGGCTCACGCCTGTAATCCCAGCACTTTGGGAGGCCGAGACGGGCAGATCACGAGGTCAGGAGATCGAGACCATCCTGGCTAACACGGTGAAACCCTGTCTCTACTAGAAACACAAAAAAATTAGCTGGGCATGGTGGCGGGCGCCTGTAGTCCCAGTTACTCGGGAGGCTGAGGCAGGAGAATGGCGTGAACCCGGGAGGTGGAGCTTGCAGTGAGCCGAGATTGCACCACTGCACTCCAGCCAGGGCGACAGAGCGAGACTCAGTCTCAAAATAAAGAAAATAAAGACGGTTCCCATATACTCCCTATTCCCCCGAACCACACGTTGCCTTTCCTGCTATCAACATCCTGCCCCACAGTGGTATATTTGGTACAACTGATACACTTATGTTGACACATCATTATTACCTAAAGTCCATAGTTCTCACATTGTGGTTCACTCTTGGTGCTATATATTCTATGAGTTTGAACAAATGTATAAAGACGTGCATCCGTCATTATAGTATCATCCAGAGTGGTTTCACTGCCCTAAAATCCTCCTATTGAGGATTATTGTTCTTCTGTAGTACTTCTCCTATTGATGGCTTCTTCCCTCTTAATTCCTGACAACCACTAATATTTTTACTGTCTCTATACTTTTGCCCTTTTTTAGAACGTCATGTAGTTGAAATAATATAGTATGTAGCCTTTTAAGATTGGCTTCTTTCATTTAGTAATATGCTTTTAAATTTCTTTCATGTCTTTTTAAGTCTTGATAGCTCTTTTCTTTTAAACACTGAATAATATTTCATTGTCTGGATGTACCAGTTTATTTACCCATTTACCTACTGAAGGACATCTTGGTTGCTTTCAAGTTTTGGCAATTATAAATAAAGCAGCTTTAAATTTTAAAATGTTATATTAGACACATCACCTTTCCATTGTACCAATCAGCCAATATCTTGTTCTGTACTTTTATTTATGTTCTTTTTAAACAAAATTATATGTAAAAAAGAAGATTTGGGCCAGGCACAGTGGCTCACGCCTGTAATACCAGCACTTTGGCAGCCCAAAGCAGGCAGATTGCCTAAGCTCAGGAATTTGTGACCAGCCTGGGCAGCACAGTAAAACCCTGTCTCTATGAAAAATACAAAGATTACCTGGGTGTGGTGGTAGGCGCCTGTGATCGCAGCTACTCTGGAGGCTGAGGCAGGAGAATCGCTTGAACCTGGGAGGCAGAGGAAGCAGTGAGCCAAGATCATGCCACTGTACTCCAGCCTGGGTGACAGCCCGAGACTCCATCTCAAATATATATATATATATATATATATATGAGAATCGAAATATATACACATGAGAATCTAAATATATACACATATCTAAACAGTGGTTGTGAGAATTGCAAGTTATAGGAAATAAAGTGTTCATTAATGTACTTTTTCTTTTTTTTCAGAAATGTGATACTTACCAGTTAATAATGGAAGTGCGAGACATGGGCGGCCAGCCTTTCGGTTTATTTAATACAGGAACAATTACTATTTCACTTGAGGATGAAAATGACAATCCGCCATCTTTCACAGAAACTTCTGTGAGTATACCTCTCTATTCATTAATCTAGATTTATCTACTTTTTCAAAAAACATATCTAGAATTTGGTAGCTCTGTGAGATCACACAGTTTGATTTAAATAACCGCTACTTACAAATAACATAGGGAGAAAATATGATTTCTGTACAAATAATTGAAGTACTAGTTATTTCTGGATGCTAGGGAAATAACCATGCTCTTGGCTACCGAAGAGCTTCTTAGCCCTAGGTATGTTCATGTGTTCAACTTTTTTTTTTTTTTGGTGTTAAGCTCTGCTGTCAGATTCCTTGGCATTAAATTTTTTAGGTAGGGTGAAGGAGGAGAGGCACTCTCTCTGGTGTCCTTTACATTTCAACTTCTTAAGATGAATAAGGAACTAGCCTATGGAGACAGTAGTACAGGCTGGCTCACAACTCCAAACAAGCTCTTCCTGTACTATGAGCAAACTTTTCCTTAGGCAGTAAACAATAAGATATATATAAAAATATATGTGTGTGTGTGTGCATGTGTACATATATATATTTATATTTTTATGACCATAGTTTTGGGAAATGGTTCTCCTTTTCTGAACTTTTGATAAAGAAACTTTCATTTTTTCATTAATCTATTCCAGAACACAAGTCAGAGAAGGAAAAACGTGCAAGTACAGTGATAGACATATTCATGTAATTTATTATATGAATCCCTACAATATATGAGGATATATTTTAACCCATGTTTCATATGAGGAAATTGAAAGTCTGTTAAGTCAAGATCTCATACTAATAAACCATATACAAGGAATAACCAGGATTCAAATCTAGGTCTATTACGTTCCAGTGTCTGTCATCCTTCTATATGAATTCACCTTCTATCTCTAACAGATTTAATTTACTACTTCTTTCAGTCTTTTTTTTTTTTTTTTTTTTTGAGACAGAGTCTCGCTCTGTGGCCCAGGCTGGAGTGCAGTGGCCGGATCTCAGCTCACTGCAAGCTCCGCCTCCTGGGTTTACGCCATTCTCCTGCCTCAGCCTGCCGAGTAGCTGGGACTACAGGCGCCCGCCACCTCGACCGGCTAGGCTAGTTGTTTTGTATTTTTAGTAGAGACGGGGTTTCACCGTGTTAGCCAGGATGGTCTCGATCTCCTGACCTCGTGATCCGCCCGTCTCGGCCTCCCAAAGTGCTGGGATTACAGGCTTGAGCCACCGCGCCCGGCCTCAGTCTTTAATATCTTATGATTTTGTAAGATATTTTTTGTGGAGGGCTATTGTTTAATGTCTCAGAAAAAGGGAAAACTTTTCTGCTAAAGATTTGCAAGTGAATCAAAAGTACATTTGGAAAGATTGGTGTGAAAACAATTCTTCCAGAAATTAGAAGCCAACATATGTTATAATTACACAAGTACTGAATGTTTAATATATTAGCGTAAAACATTTATTAAGTGCTTACTGTGTAAACATGGAAGACGATAGACTGTAAATATTGTAGAGGTTCAGAGAAGAGACAAATCTGAGTTCTAGAATGATTAGGAAAATTATCTCAGAGAAGTTCAGAAGGTAAGACTTGGGGTAGCCTTTGAAGAATGGAAAAGATATGAAAAGGCAATTTAGGAGGAAAGAACTAAGCTACGCATTCAATTTGTAAAATGTTTCCCCATATATTGAGGGCAGCTTTTCACATCGCTTTATTTTTTCCTTAAATACATGTTTTAGAATATAAAGGCACATTGTCAAAGTTGTAAATTGATAATAATAAGGTACAATTCTTTCAGTATGTTACAGAAGTAGAAGAAAACAGAATTGACGTGGAGATTTTAAGAATGAAGGTACAGGATCAGGATTTGCCAAACACTCCTCACTCAAAGGCTGTATACACAATCCTACAAGGAAATGAAAATGGAAACTTCAAAATTAGCACGGATCCAAATACAAATGAAGGAGTGTTGTGTGTTGTCAAGGTAAACAAATAAAATAATCACGCCATGCTTTAAAATATCCTAACTCATGCACTGATTTTAAGAGATAATTCTTATGTGTATATGACTAGAATACTGCAATGCAAGGCCAAATGATTTATATTGGTTTATATAATTTTTTTTTTTCTTATTCTCTTACTCTAATTTTCTCTCGTAGAAGAAAGTCATGTCAGGTACAATACTCATTGTTCTTTATATGAAGAAAACCAAGACAGAGAAATATTGAATACTGAACAAGTTATTTGCTTTAGAAGGGGTCTTAGACACTCACTTGTCCAAATTTCTATTTTGTAAGAACATACAAAAGAAGAAAATGGAAGAATCACATTTGAAATCAAGCCTCAACTATTCAACTGCTTTCATGTTCACATTATATTTTATTTTTGCCTCTCTATGATGTATTCTGCAAGAGAGACTATTGCACTAAATATTCAGCAACTTTTCCCATTAATCCCCCTGTATTCCAGGTAGCCATTGCTTTGGATTTTAAAAATTTAATTGCAATTACTGGTTTCTAGGATGATTACTTTAACTGGACCTAATTTTTCTTTTTAGTCCATCTATCCATAGCTCTCACTAACTTCTTGCATAGCTTCCTTCATTAATTTCTTAGAAACAGTGTAAGTCCTCAGAAGGTTCAGGCAGACATTGTGTTCTCCTGATAAGATTTTTAGAAAATATTCTTTAATTATTGTACTATCTACTTTTTCTTTCTTTATTTCTTTTCCTTTTCTGGTTGCAGGTTTTTTCCCCCTTGATTTTTTTTTCCCACCCTTTAAATGTTGTTTTAGGATTCTTTCTAATTATTCAGTTTAGGACTGTATTAGTTTGTTTTCATGTGGCTGATAAAAACAAACCTGAAACTGGGAACAAAGAGAGGTTTAATTGGACTTAACAGTTTCACATGGCTGGGAAGGCCTCAGAATCATGGTGGGAGGCAAAAAGCACTTCTCACATGGCAGCAGCAAGAGAAAAATGAGGCAGAAGCAAAAGCAGAAACGCCTGATAAACCCATCAGCTCTTGTGAGACTTATTCACTATCACGAGAATAGCACAGGAAAGACTGGCTCCCATGATTCAACTACCTTGCTCTGGGTCCCTCCCACAACAGGTGGGAATTCTGGGAGATACAAATCTGATTGAGATTTGGGTGGGGACACAGCCAATCACATTAAGGACCAAGCGCTTTCATCGGAAACTAAACAGCCTGAAATCTAATGTGCTTTGAAAAGGTGCTGTTAAATATCATTCTATCTTTTGACTCAAGCATAGAGTAACTGCTGTATTATAGCCAAATTTCTATCTAATTATTTTATATACTTAGTTTGGAGGCAATTTAGTAGTCACTGTTATCCCATATAATAAGCAATGAAATCGTCTGACTTTTTTCATACACTTATCTTGCATTTCTGTTAATATTTAAACTTAAAATCAAAAAGGCTGAAGGCAAGATCTTCCAAAAGAAAAATAAGAAGAAAAATGGGTTGAATCCGAGAACCAACAATTTTGCATTTGGCAATGTTTGTCACTTTAGGAAGCTAATTATTAGTCTTTAACTGTGTTAGCCCTAACTTTGGGTTACATTTTAAATGTAAAAATGATATTTCTTTGTAGAAAAATTTGAAATTAGAAGCCTTATATATAATGTTATATATTGACTTATTAAGGTATGCTTATTTAACAGCCATTGAACTATGAAGTCAATCGCCAAGTTATTTTGAAAGTTGGTGTAGTTAACGAGGCACAATTCTCTAAAGCAGCGAACTCACAAACTCCTACAATGTGCACTACAACTGTCACCGTTAAAATTATAGACAATGATGAGGGCCCTGAATGCCACCCTCCAGTGAAAGTTATTCAGAGTCAAGATGGCTTCCCAGCTGGCCAAGAACTCCTTGGATACAAAGCACTGGACCCGGAAACAGCCAGTGGTGAAGGTTTAAGGTGATGTACTTTTCAAAAAGCTCCTTAGTTTTAATTGTTATGTAAATTGATTTAAAAGTTAGGAATGTTTCTTGTATTTTCAAAATGATAGATTTTAAGATCATGTCCCTTCTTGATTTGACCATTTATATTTGATTTCTAAAAATTAGGTATCAGAAGTTAGGGGATGAAGATCACTGGTTTGAAATTAATGAACACACTGGCGACTTGAGAACTTTAAAAGTACTAGATAGAGAATCCAAATTTGTAAAAAACAACCAATACAATATTTCAGTTGTTGCAGTGGATGCAGGTGAGTGCCATTTTCTACAGATAAAGTATAAATACAGAATATGTTTTTAAGGAAACCTTGGGTGAAATCTGTTTATTTCTAGACAAAACATAATTCAAACAGTGTTTGCATTATTATTATTCATGTTATTGGAGATCACCCAGTTTTGGCTCCAGTGCATCTATAATGCAAAGCTATGGGGTAGTGAATGACCAAAGCTTAAGGCTTAATTATATCACAATAAATTTAAATGTAATTGCATCACAATTAAAATTAAGGTCTAAGATTTAAAAGATGATCTATATTATTAATTTCTGCTGAGGAAATGGTGGCATACTCAAGGATCACCGTTTTTTTCAGAAGTACAGGTTTAGATACGTTATGATTTGAGCTTGCTGAAAGGGTTCAACACACCTAAAACAGGTGGGTTCAAAGTAAGTTTGTTCTGAGCTTCTCTTAATGGAGAACATATCATTTATCCTATTTTATAAAGGAATGGTCAAACAATGACTTAAGTCTTTTGTGGTGGTTTACAATCTTTTACCAAGGTCAATTTTAGAATCAATTCTGTAAAGAATGTCCTCCAAATATAGTAAAGTAGTGATCTGGAACTTCTTTTGAACATACACATTTCTATCAGTAAACCACTTGTTAGTATGTTTAAATATATATTTATGAATGTTTTTAAATATTTGCTATCATATGTATTTATGTACATGTTCTACTATATTAATGTATACATCATAAAAATATGTGAAACATATTAAAAGGATGATAAAATTATAAGTAGAAGCTACACTTTTTCATTTTATCATATTGATAACAAATTTACCATAAATTGTGGCAAATTGCCATAAATAATAAAGATAAGTGAACTTGGGCTTTTATAACGTAGCCTATTCTTTTGACTACGTGCCTAATCCAAGAAGGTTTCCACTCTTTTTATCTGCATATGCTGGATGTTCGACACAAACTAGCTGATACAGCAATGCTATAGGTTTTTTTTACTGCATCTGTTGCATTTCTTTAGAAGGAATGGGTGAATGTATTAATAAATACCTATCAAATTCCATGATAATTAACACAAGTTGGCAGTAGTGAAAGTGTTCATGCTTATTTATTTGTCCTTTTGACTTTTTTTATAACAAAATGCAAACAATGTGTTCTCAGATATTATACCCTATTTTTTTCTATGATTGCAAAGAATACTTTATGTTTACTCATTTATTCCGCAACTGTTGGTTTGTCTATTAAGTTCTAAGTATTAGACAAGCTGACATGGAAATTAAGAATGTTAAGGTAAGGCCAAATTCTTACACGATATCAACTATAGAATTATTGTATTTTCACAAGAGATTCTATGGTGTGAGAACTTTCCTCATAAAGAATGTACGGATATTATCAGAAGTGAAGATCAGTTAAGAGCTGCTCAGATTAAGGATGAAAGAGAAGAGATTACAGAAATACAGAGGTGTAATTTTTTAAAAATAAAATAATGTCTGAAGCAGAGAAAATTATGGAGAACACAGTATTTAAAAATTAACTTTGTTTTTTGGTGCTAAAAGACAATGTCTATAAGCACAGTCATCATAGTGTAAGAAAATAAAAAGCAAACTTTAACAAATTTATATTCCATGGCTATAAGATAACCTGCGTGTGCTTAAGAAAAAGTAAAGATAAGGATGTTACACATTTTAGTGAAAAACCATATAGTGATATGAAGGATTTTGTTTCTTTGAACTTTAATACACACACACACACACACACACACACACACTTTGCTCTGATGCTCATGAATATTCCTCGATGATAATCTAGGCATTCTACCTTTCTTAGAATCCAACTTTCTTTCTTGTGTCAATCCTCTGTCAGTCAGGCTGTCAGTCGAGAAAGCACTGTTTTACATGCCTTCCACGTAGAGTAGCATTGCTCCTCCTGTCTGAAATTCAGGTCCCTTAACTTCTTCAAATAAATGGTAATAATAAGATTTGTGATTGTTTCCATTAGTCTGGATTCAGTTCTTCTCTAAATACCTTTTGACCTGGGAATAACACTTATCATATATGGTGTGGCTTCTGTAGAAAAGGCTGCTTTCATTGTTTCTCATGTACATTCTGTTCTCTTTGTAAACCATCCCTTTCCAAGTATCTGGCAGAAAATGTGGTATACGTACACACAGTGCAGGTGCTGATATTTGTCATTCCTTTGTTGTTTGAGAGTCCTGTGAATCTCCAGGTTATAAATTTCACTACAAAAAGCTTTACAATTCTAGGGACATAATTAGCACTTGGAAAAACTGGTTTTAATGTAGAAAATTGAGATTAAACATTTACTAAGTACTTCTTTATTCTTCCCTTCCGCAAAAAGGATTTTCTTAAGATAACAAATATTTAAGGGTTGTCATGTAGAAGTGGCAAACGTTTTGCATGGATAATCCAAAAAGAACATGAGCAAATTATAGGAAATTATTAGGAGGCATATTGTAGCTTAGTAAGTAAAAATTTAAACCTTTTAACAATTTTAAAATTTATAGAATAGGCTGATTTATAATGTAGTGATTCTAGTTACTGAAACATTTGAGTAGCAATGAAAAAACTCTTGCTTTTCAGAATTGCTGTTGAAGTATTATGAAGATTTTTAGTTAACCCAAGATGTACTTTCTAGCTCTGTGTTTGTGATGTTTCTTACTCATTTATACTTGGCATTTGCTTATGTGCTTAATTTATGGTAAGTTTTAGAAGTAAATAAACGCACCAAATGACCTTTCACCATGCTCAGCTATTATCAGTAATTACTTATTTTTGGCTGTTTACCTCTTCCCAGGGGTAAAATAAAAACTAACCATCAACCTCTTGTAATTTTTGATATCTTCTAAGACAAGCTTGTCCAACCTGTGGCCTGCAGGCAGCATGCAGCCCAGCATGGCTTTGAATGGGACCCAACAAAAATTCACAAACTTTCTTGAAACATTATAAGATTTGTTTGCAACATGTATTTTTTAGCTCTTCAGCTATCATTGGTGTTAGTGCATTTTATGTGTGGCCCAAGACAATTCTGTTTTCAGTGTGGCCTAGGGAAGCCAAAATATTGGACACCCCTGTTCTAAGACCTTCTCAGCTTTGGCTTTGATTGCCTTCCATGTAAATAATTTCAAGCATGTTTCACTCTGTTTTTATCAACATGCTTAAAACAGAGACTATAATAGAGAACAGTAAGTTATGGGATAAATGTTGGTTGAATATGTGATTAAATAAATCTTGATTTGCATTCCTATAATTACCACATTTTTATTGGATTTTTAAAGTGTGTTTTCTCACCATTTTTCTATAAAGAGAAAGGCTTTCTGCTTAAATTTTAAAAGGTGAAATTATACTATATATATATCAACTCATCTGTAGTGCATGTAACTAAATTTTTTACTTTATAAAGCCCTCTTTTTCACATTATTCATTTCTTTGTTAGTTTGCTGATTTTAAAGTTGTTACTTATATTCAAATTTATTTGCTGTTTTCTGGCAGTCTCAAAGTATTTATATGCTATTGTACATTTCTTCTCCTAACAGCTATATCTCTGTTTTATTTCTGGATATTTTTAAACTTATTCAGATAGTTTTAAAATAGGCATAAATAGTGGTTACTTTATTTAAACAATTAGTTTAAAAATCACTGAATAAATTAATTTTGTAGTTATTCACCAGAAAAAAATTTTCCTGAAATACATTACATGATATGACTCAGGGTTATTTCAAATTAAAAAGAAAAATAAATTATATTTGCATGGGAGTTGCAGTAGTGTTTATGATAAATTCAACAGACATGTTTCAGAATGTGGACCAATATTTAAATCAAAAACATGAAAAACTGCATCAATTACCTTTCTGTTTATTTCAATTTTGATATCTTATCATTTATTATAGTTTATTATACTTTGACAAATGGTGGGATTTGACATGTTTCTGAATTTCATTATCTCTTAAACACAAATAATGGGCACTATTTTAACTAAAAATACTATGTGTGAAGTCTTAGGCCATTAATAGTGGCAATCAACAGGTGAGTATGAGACAGTTCCTGTTGGCAAGAACATATGAATGGCATTAGGGCAGAGATGAAAACTTATTTTTCTGGCTTATTCAATTCAACGTTTTCAAGTATAAAAATAGGAACTGCATTATGTTCAATGTGTTAGTATAAAGTTATAGTTAGCTGGGAAGTACTGGGCAAATCACTAGGCTCTCAAGGTGAATACAACTTACTATGCTATTTTTGCAGTTCAGTGTGTGAGCCAAGGTATTAGCAAAGGATTCTGAGAAAGCACTGGAATATGGCTTCCATTGTCTGTGGAAATCACAAGTTTCATGAGGAGGTGACATTTAAGTAGATTCTTGAAGATAATAGTGTGTTCCCTGGCAAAGAAGAGGAGAAAAGTATTCCTAGGAGTGGCAACCTACAAAGCAGACAGGAAGGGAAACACCTAGTGCATTTCTAAATAAGTTTTCAGGGTTTGGGCAAAAAGTATATGATGCAGTGCGGAAGCCGAGAAAGTGATTGATAACCAAATGTAAAAGGATGAATATATACGCTGCATAAAGAAGGATTTAAAACATCCATTTGATTTTCAACAGGTCATTCCGTAGTGACCTTCCTCATAATATCATACCTTTTAATTCTCAAAAGCACCTGAAGAAATTATCTGATTCAGCCCTGGTCTTCAAAGAAAAATGACGTGTCCCTATTTTGTAGCCTTGATGTCCGAAATCTGGGAAGCATGTATACGAACTCAAGCTCAGACAGCTAGTAGAAAGCAGATGTCAACTGTGTATTTTATAAATTGTTGAAAACAAATGCATTTTCATGTGAAGAAATAACCTATTTTTAATTTATCTTAGTTGGCCGATCTTGCACTGGAACATTAGTAGTTCATTTGGATGATTACAATGATCACCCACCTCAAATTGATAAAGAAGTGACCATTTGTCAGAATAATGAGGATTTTGCTGTTCTGGAACCTGTAGATCCAGATGGACCTGAAAATGGACCACCTTTTCAATTCTTTCTGGATAATTCTGCCAGTAAAAACTGGAAACTAGAACAAAAGGATGGTATGTAATTATGCTAAATGTTATAGTTATAGTCAGTAGGGACTTCAGATTGGTGATGGTCCTTTCACCTTAGTTTATCATAATAAATACACATTTATTTAAGGAAATTATTTTATTAACCCTAAAAACAACAATACCTTTTTTTTAAAAAAAAAAAATTGATGCCATTATGGTGTGCTTAGACTCTTGTTCTGAATATCCTTTAAGAAAACATGTAAGTCCCTTTCTAATTAACATTTGAGCAGCATATTAAGTGTAGATTAGTTTAATATCAGCATAAAGCAACATAAATTACTTTTCTGGCTGTTCTGAGAAATCAAAAATTCAAAAAAAAAATGAAAAATTAGGGTTTATATTCTAAATTGGTTCCCGTCCACTGAGAACATCAAGTAGGAATAATATTGCTATGTAAACATCCTATCTGTATGTATTCTCTCTTTTTTTCCCTAGGTAAAACAGCCATTCTTCGCCAACGACAAAATCTTGATTATAACTTTTATTCTGTGCATATTCAAATAAAAGACAGGCACGGTTTAGTTGCAACACATGTGTTAACAGTGAGAGTATGTGACTGTTCAACTCCATCTGAGTGTAAAATGAACGATAAAAGTGCAAGAGACGTTAGACCAAATGTAATACTTGGAAGATGGGCTATTCTTGCTATGGTGTTGGGTTCTGTATTGTTATTATGTAAGTATATTATCATTATCTAGAATGTGTTAGCTAAAATTTTATCTAATATTTTTAAAACATGGAAGTTTTTTATATTAATAGCCTCTGGGAAATGTGTTCTTTTAAAAATATTGTATCTATTTTATGTCTTGGCGCTTTGAGTGATAGAAGAAACATATCAGTAACAGCAGATTAAATTTAAAGTAAGTTTCGGAGGTGGTAGCCTTAGTTTTTCAATAATTATCTGTGAGACAGTGGGTAGATTATTTCCTCTTTTTTGAACTCATTTTTCCATGTGTAAAATGAAGAAGCTGGATAAAACTATTAAGATTCCGTCCATATAAAATAATATGGTCTTTGAACCAGCCATGTTTATGTAGGGAATACACACATAGAAAAAGAATTTGTGAAAACAGAGCTATTCCAAAATTTACTCAGATATTTATGTTCCATATTATTAATGAAGTGATTTAGCATCATCATAAGACTTCCATGAGTGGAAAATGGTCACATGAGCCACTGAGGAAAAGCAATACAGGCAAAGGATGCTAAGATTTTGCAAACTGTTATTTGGAGGTACAAAAGTAATAGAAATATTGTCCACACTTAATTAAGTCTGTCTTTTTCTCTTTCTTTCTGTTTCTTTCTTCCTTTCCTTTTCTTTTTCTTACTCTCTCCTCTGACTCTAAAGAGCCCATTTGCATTTATGAACTTTTCCTATAATCTTTACTGTATCCTAATTCATTGATCTGAGTTTCAGATTAAACTGGATATTCCTCTTAGCACTTTATTAGTTGATGTACACTTTTGAAACTGGGCACCAATTTTTTGTAATTGCCTTTCTTGTTTGTATTTATGCCTAATGTTCTTCGTCTTGTTATTCTAAGCCCTTTAAGTGTGTTCTGTGTGATTTTAACTACCAATGATGCTATCTTAAATTTCAGTTAGATGAAGTTACCATTTCAACGTAGAAGAAATAAAAGACACACATAAGTTAATTCTGGACCTGGGAAGAGAGTATTATTAATGTCTTTAAGCTACAAATAGTATAAATACATTTTTAAAATATTCTGTTTTTAAATCTTGTGACCTAATGAACTCAATTTGTGGAATGAATTTTTTGAGACATATGCAAGAAGACTTTTTAAAAATCATGTAATCAAATGATTTAATGTCTGTGTTTTACTTTGATCTTTTTTGCTTTTTAGGTATTCTGTTTACATGTTTCTGTGTCACTGCTAAGAGAACAGTCAAGAAATGTTTTCCAGAAGACATAGCCCAGCAAAATTTAATTGTATCAAATACTGAAGGACCTGGAGAAGAAGTAACGGTAAATCAAATTTCACATCCCTTTGAATTGTATGGTGAACAAATGATGACAGATTATTATACAACAATGTCAGTGATAGTATCACTAATGTTTATTGAGCACTTACTATGCTAAGCAGAGTTTCAAGTGTCCTCAATGTTTTAAATCCTTTAAACCTCCCAATTCTACAGGGCTAGGGTTGTCACAACAAACTGAGTGACTTAAACAATAGAAAAGGATTGTTTCACAGATCTGGAGACTAGAAATCAGAGATCAAGGTGTTGGCAGGTCCATGCTCCCTCTGAAGGAACTGGGGAGAGATCTGTTCCAGGACCCTTTCCTAGCTTCTGCCAATTCCCTGGCTTGTGGCAGAGTAAATTAGATCTTCATATGGTGCTCTCCCTGTGTGCATGTCTGTGTCCAAATGTCCCCTTTTTATAAGGATACTGGTCTTATTAACTTAGGGACCTACTCTAATCCCATATAACCTCATCTTAACTAATTGCATCTATAATGACCCTATTTCCAAATAAGTTCACATTCTGATTCACTGAGGGTTAGGACATATGAATTTTTAGGGGACTCAGTTCAACCCATCACACCTATGATACTATTATTCTGATTTTATGTATGAGGAACAGAGAGGCACAGCAGGCAAGTGATTTGCCTATGGTGAAAAAAATGAAAATGAATGGTTAGTTTCCATTTTTCAAATTCACTTTATCACTCTAATTTTACTTTCAGGAAGCAAATATTAGACTCCCCATGCAGACATCCAACATTTGTGACACAAGCATGTCTGTTGGTACTGTTGGTGGCCAGGGAATCAAAACACAGCAAAGTTTTGAGATGGTCAAAGGAGGCTACACTTTGGATTCCAACAAAGGAGGTGGACATCAGACCTTGGAGTCCGTCAAGGGAGTGGGGCAGGGAGATACCGGCAGATACGCGTACACAGACTGGCAGAGTTTCACCCAACCTCGGCTTGGCGAAGTAAGTCCCACTGTCTTCGAGGTCATATTACATGGAAGTTAAATGCTAGTTATAAATCAGAATTTCCCAAAAGTTGTACTCCTCATATACCTGGAAGTCAACATCTTTTAAATGTTGCGTTATCATAGATGTGGATGTCTGGTTTAAACCCAAAGAGAAACAGTTTATGAAAGTTTATCTAGGAGTGCCATATGTAGATGTGTTTACAAAGGATAAAAAGTTGATAGCTTCTTCCCTAAAAATTAACAGAAAAACCACCGGGAGTGAAATATTTATTATATAGGAATGAATGGATCATAAATTACAAACATTTCTCAGTGTGCTTGAGTTCTTTGTGTGGTTATGAAGTCCTGGCTATCAAAATCAACCACATAAATTGTTGAGCTTTTCTTTTGAGTTTTAGTTCCTTGTTTTGTTTTATGTTCAGATTAATCAGTATAGGTTTGATGTTAGCCAGTTTAATATATTACACTATCACAGTTATATAGTAGTGTATAAACATAGGAATCATAGCCTATATTGGTTTTCTTCAAATATGTGAAGAAGCTACAAAGATACATTTCAAATATATGTGTTTTATGTTCAAATGGAAAATTATAAATGAGTTGTGTGATATATGTGTAGTCTTGATTTTTCTAAATGTGCTCACTAGAAGCATTTATTTATTTGCTATATTTTAAGAGTGACTATAATACAGACCAATCCTGTGCATTTTTTATATATAGGAATCGATTAGAGGACACACTCTGATTAAAAATTAAACAGTAAAAGGTAAATCAAAGACATCATTTTTCTGCTAATATGTTTAGGTGTTTTTAAAAAAATAATAAAATGTGCTCTTTTTTGATACAGAAGGTGTATTTGTGTGGACAAGATGAGGAGCATAAACATTGTGAAGACTACGTTCGTTCGTATAACTATGAAGGCAAAGGTTCTCTGGCCGGCTCAGTAGGGTGCTGCAGTGACCGGCAGGAAGAAGAGGGACTGGAGTTTCTAGATCAACTGGAACCCAAATTTAGGACATTAGCAAAGACATGCATCAAGAAATAAATGTGCCTTTTAATAGTGTAATATCCACAGATGCATAAATAGGAGTTTATTACATGCAGAATGTTAGCAGCATCTGCTAATGTTTTTGTTTATGGAGGTAAACTTCATGTATAGGTAAGGGTACTATAAATATGAGATTCCCTTACATTCTCCTTATCTGGTATAACTTCCGTGTTCTCTAGAAATCAAGGTTTTGTTTGCTAATTCTCTTTTAGGTGCATGTATATATTGCCCTAGTCATGACTGTACTGTACACTTTCTTGCACCTCGTATTTGAAAACTGATGTTACTTTTTGTGCTGTGGAAGAACATTTGGGAAAGCTGGGTATTATAGAGGCCAATGAAAGACGAATTTGTGTTGTAGATGTACGAATTAAATATTTTCTTCAAAATCTTGGGGAGAATTATGTTCTCAGAAATATTTTCTTTGGGGCCAGATAATTGCATTCTCTCCACCTGAGTGGTTTAAAAAGGACTTTTAAGTATTCGTCAGTGCAGTCTTTAGTTTGGTGATTAAGCTCATTTCTCTTTTACACTTTTGTACTCCTCAGAGCAGTGCTCCCAGCATTGTTTTCTTTCAGGATCCTTCAGAGCACGGTCCTTGAACCTCTGCCCATGTGGATTTGTTATCAGGTCCCTTCAACTTCTAGGATTATTGGAAAGATAAGGACCAGAACAAGCTCACAGCAAACTTGAGGGGTAGAGATTTTACGAAGATTACCTGAGAAGATTTCCATGAAAGATTTACAACCCTGAGGTTCCTGGGTTGACTTAGGCTCACAAATATGTTTCATTTGCTCAATATGGCTTACTACTAACATTTTAAAAACATAAATACGTTAGCAAAAACATTCACTCTTGAGTTTGGCACAAGCCCACCTTATCTGTGGTTGCCACCTGCCATCTCCAAGCATTTGGACAACTAGCCCTGATGGCATTAGGCTGCAACTCTGATATACAGAGATTAGCACCTTGAATATGCCCAAAATTGAATTACCATCTGTATTAATAGTTAAGACTCAACCTAAATTTATAGTTACTTTAAGAAAATGGGCAGTCAGAATTAGGGACTAGAATGTTTATGAGAAACCCCATCTCTACTAAAAATACAAGAAATTAGCCGGACGTGGTGGTGCATGACTGTAATCACAGCTACTTGGGAGGCTGAGGCAGGAGAATCGCTTGAACCTGGGAGGCAGAGGTTGCGGTGAGCTGAGATTGTGCCATTGTACTCTAGCCCGGGCAACAAGAACAAAACTCTGTCTCAAAAAAAAAAAAAAGAAAAAATGAAATCTATTACTGCAACACTTACCAAACATTTGTGGAATGATGAAAATATGAATGCACACATTCAGAAATAATTTTGAATGTATAACATTTTAACAGGATAGTATATTTTATTAATCTAAAAAGAAACTATATATTTAAATAGCATTTTCATAGCCATTTGTGGCAAACTCTATAATCTATAAACAATAACAGTATGGAGATTTCTCATCCAGAAAACACGAAGACTTAAAAAAATCTATTAACTAGTTAACTATTTTTAAAAATGAGTGGCTTTTAAAAAAATGTTGGGACTAGTCTTCTTATTCTCAGTTCCAACTTAAAGGTGCTTCTTGATATGAAACTGGATATTGGATCAAAAGAAAAAAGTGATTTTAATAAATCAGGTTTTATTTTACAAGGTATCCATAATATATAATATTTATAACCATTATAAAATATTTCTGTGGTCATGCAATTTTTGTTTTCTGATGTACAGTTTGCTCTGATGATAATATCAGTTCTAAAATTTTAAAATATAAATTTGGACATTTATCATAAGTTACATTCTTGAATGTAGGTACAAAATGTTCTTGGAGCAATTAAAAATCATTAATTGAACCTTAACTTTAATTGTACTTTTATGTTCATATATAAATTTTCTTTTCCATAATTAAGCAAGTGAAAAGAAATATGAAGACAACCGAACATATGCAAATTAAATTTCAGCCAATGATTTTTAATTGCTCCAAGAACAATTTGTATCTACACTCAAAAATGTAATAATTAATATCCACAGGTAGATATCTTAGCAAGAGAAGATACTTTAAAAGCATTAGAAAAATTATTAGAAAATGTGGGAAATAAATTTGTATTAACCAGTTTTGGCTATTTAAAATATTTTCAAAATATCGTTAGAGTTTATCTCAGAGAAACTTTTACTTTTGGTTTAGTTAGGCAATTCAAAATCATTCTGTTTACTCCCAAAATTAAATGTTAATTGTGTGATTGATAAAATGTGTGACACTCTATCAGAATGCTTACAAATTTCATTTGTTAATAAAATATTGTATTTCATGAATTTATTTCATATAACTTGTCAGTTAATTGTCAATTAATAAGTTAATAGTTATGAATGGTTTTTCTAGAATTAAATCAGTATTGAGGAAGATATACAGTTAAATTTTCTTATCTTGTTTCAGATCTCAAATATTTCATGTGAAAAAATTTCATGAGAACACCAAGATAGATGAAAATCAATATAATTTTATAAGTGAGCTTCATTAGACATGTCCTAATTTTACTGAACTTCTGCTTACTCCTGTGCTTATTAAAAGTATTTCATAAAACTTGACATCTATGCATATCTTTACTTTCAGAAAATGTCATATGCTGTGTTATTTAGAAAATGCTCAAAATAGATGTTTTAGAGTCAAAGATTTTTATTATCGCAGAAAAGCTAACTCCCTTTTTATTGTATGTTAGTTATGAAAATTCTGTACTAGTTGAAAAACCTAAATGAAATTAGGGCAATGAAACAATGTATATTGCTGCATTTTTCTACTCTCTTATCTGCTTTTCTAATAAATCTGAAGGAGTGTTGCATTTGACTAGACACTGCATTTGTCTTTCTGTTTTTGTAGAAAAAAAGGAAAAAGAAGCATAGCAGGAGAAAACATTACTAAGAATGGATAGATTCTTGCGTATTTTATAGGGCCCAATAAAATTAAGTTAGCAGAGTTTTTCAAAACTCTTTGAAAAATAATGTTTACATAAAAAATAAAAATCACATATATATTACCTCAAATCCTTACTACCAAAACCAAAATAACTTTTTTAAATAGCTATTTTAAATAGACTAATTTAAGTGTATTAGAAGGATTATAAAAACAAATGTGTGAAGTACATTTATAATATGTATTTTATGAAGCTAAGTCTTTTACTATTTTAAGATATTCACTTCTTAGAGTAAGTTTTTTGATTGATGGAAATAAATATCCTGTCATAAATCAATATACAGAGTTAGCAGTTGTTTATTCCCTAACTTTAGAGAAAAAAAAAAAACAATGAAAGACAAGTGTGGTTTTCCTGTGGTCTGCATTTGCCTGAGAATACATAGGATTTCAACATTTTAAAAATTGAGTTTTCAGTGTGCAACAATTTGATGCCTGTAACTGTGGAATTTTATTTGTCTATGTTTAGAGACTTCTAAATGATATACTGTGGAATTATTAATACTAAAAAAACTAAAGGCTTCATTTGAGATATGTGAAGTTTTAATTTACCTAAAATTAATGTTATTTTGTACCAGGTAAAGTTCAAGAAAAACTGAAAGAAGCCCTCTGATCAAAAGTGGAAATGAAAGGATTTCCTTACTTGGCTTTGCCTCCCCTAAAAGATGTGGAATATTTGGTACTGAGTGGTGGATGACATTTAAATAGTTCAAAATCTCTCTTAAAACCCAAGTTTCTAAAGATCATCCATCCATAGTAGGTATCCTGCAAGAGGGATGTGCTACTGTCCTACACCCACCATATTTCCCACCTCTTTGAGATCCATACTAAAATTCAAGGTTGCTGGTTCTTGAAGTGTAATTCCTGGATTAGAAGGCTCAGCATCACCTGGAAACTTACTACAGATGCAAATACTTTGGTCTTTAGCCCAGATCTACCAAATAGGAAACACTGAGAATGAGACCCACCTATAAGTAGGTTAACAGACTCCCCAGGCCTTTCTGATGTACTGTCAAGGTTGAGAATGTCGTTCTATTCCTCACTTCACCGCTAGCTCTCTGATACTCAGTGTGGTCTGTGGAGCAACAGCATTGGCATTGCCTGAGAGCTTGTTAGACAAATAGATTCTCAGCCCCCACCTCAGACCTATTGAATCAGAGTCTGCATTTTGACAGGATCTCCAGGAGATCTGTAAGCACATAAAACTAGGATAAGCACTACAAAAGTGATTAGGTGAGAGGAAAGACAGCAAAAACGAATGGGTGAAAAACATGATTAGTTTAGTGGAGTAAGCAATACAGGTAACCTCAGGCAGTAGGTTCATGATATTAGTTAACGTCTAGATAATTAGATATTATTTAGATACCATCTAGAACATAGATGTGATGCCTCATGCTCAGGCAGCCATTCTGTGAGCTTCAGAATGGAAGCCATGTACTGAGAATAGTGGAGCAAAAAGATTAACAGAGGTTGGATCCCTGATAAATTGTAGAGCCTCCAATCTGCTTTAGTCTTCCTGCCTCTAAACTTGGTCATGTGTGTGAGTAAACCTTTTTGTGTTTAAGCCATACAACTTTAGGTTTTCTGTTATATGTAGTTGAATGTAATCTGATATGGGGAAAGGACAAAGATTGGATATAAATAATTGTTTTACCCAAGTCATAAGTCAGTGAAAGTAGCAGGTTACCTTCTGTACTTTGAAAACTCACTTTCTTTTGGTTAAGAGTTCAAACATGGGCCAAGTGCGGTAGCTCACACTTGTAATTCCAGCACTTTGGGAGGCCGAGGGAAGGAGAACAAGAGGTCAAGAGATCGAGACCATCCTGGCCAATATGGTGAAACCCCATCTCTACTAAAAATACAAAAATTAGCTGGGCATGGTGACATACACCTGTAGTCCTAGCTACTTGGGAGGCTGAGGCAAGAGAATCATTTGAACTCCGGAGGTAGAGGTTGTAGTGAGCCAAGATCACACCACTGCACTCCAGCAACCTGGCAACAGAGCAAGACTCTGTCTCAAAAAATAAATAAATAAATAAATAAATAAATAAAGAGTTCAAATATGGTGAGACTTGAAGATATTCCAGTGTTCTCTGAAAAGCCTCAGAAGAAAAGGGAGTATTACTTCATGGAAATAAAAAAAGGTACAATAATGTGCAATTTGAAGATAATATCTTCCATCCTTTCTAAAGTCAAAAGCCTTCAGTGGCTCACATTTGTAGTCTCAGCACTTTGGGAGGCCAAAGTGGGAAGACTGCTTGAGGCCAGGAATTTGAGACCAGCCTGGGCAATATAGTGAAACCCCATCTTTACAAAAAATTTTTACAAATGTTAGCTGTACCGTGCCTGTAGTCTTTGCTATTCAGGGGACTGAGCAGGGACAATCCCTTGAGGAATTTGAGGTTACAGTGAGCTACGATTGTACTACTGCACTCCAGCCTGGGTGACAGAGTGAGTCCCTATCTCAATTAAAAATTTAAAAAATTAAAGTCAGAAGCCTGACTGTGTAGAAAGCCACTGATTTAGGAGTGAAGAGACTGTGATCCTTCTGTTAACTTGCTGTGTGATCTTTATTAAGTCACTGAACCTAATTTACCTCAATTTTTCAACTTTACAAAGAATTTCGTTTATTGATTTTATAAACCAAATTATGATGTTCTTTAAGGTAGAGATGATGTTGTATTCACCATTGTATTCTCCCTTATAACTGTGCTTGACAGGTGTTTTGTTTGTTATGGGATTTAATATTTAGTTGTTGCACTAATTAAAATTTTAAATAAAAATACCTTCCCTAAATATACACATTTTTAAATTAAGCACTCCATTTTTACCCCTCCTGTTTTGTGTTCCTACACAAAAATGATCTAGTAGATGTGATTCCTTAAGTCTGAGAGAGTTAATATTTTGTTGCATTCTAGTTTCCTGAGGTATGTTTTGATTGTTCAGCTAATGAAAATAAAGGCAAATAAAAATAAATAAAACTTTTTCCCATGAATTAATTCAATGAATGTTCATCACAATTCAAAACTGTCTTAATGCCTCTACTTGAATAGACTTCAGAATGAGTAAAGATGAGTTTAAACAGAAAATCGCGGAGCGTTCAGCATGAACAAAGATAATTTTATGATTTTGCTGTATATGACAAATGGTGATTCCATGTTTGAATTGACTGAGGTGAAATTCTGCTGTTCCGCATTGTAGGCTATATAAAAAGTTGTGGTCTTTTTGTTTATTTTTTAAAAATAATCTCAGTGAATCAGCCAGGACTTGCATTAGTCTGCTGATAACAGAAATAAGAGTGGCTTAAACAAGCTAAAGTTTCATTTTTTATTTTATTTTATTTTATTTT